ATTAGCTCATTTAAAATGCTAAACAATTGTTTAAAAAATAATTAAAACGATTTACCTAGCCAAAATTTGAACATTGATGCACCAAATCTAAAAACAAAACATTTCTAGAGTAAATGATTTTAACTTTAATTTCTTTTTTTTTTTTGGGAATTTCAGAAGCCCATGATTGTTGTTTTAATTTACTACAGCGGCCTCTAAAGATAAGACCAAGCACAAAGTTTTATATATATATATATATATATATATATATATATATTAATAATGCATTGTAACTTTTAAATGAACGGTGCATTTAAATATTGTTAGACACGACGCTCTAGTAAAAGATAAGATCAAGCAACAATATGTAAAATATATAAATTCATTTAAAATTGAGAATATTTTAGCGGCTAAAAAAAAACTTCGCTCATGTTGACGAAAAACAAAGCAAATCGCATAAATTTAACCCAATGAAAATTGAAAACTAGATTTTGATTAAAAGGAACAATTCTGCCATGTAAGTTATAAAGGAAACAATAAATCTCAATCTTGGAACCCATTTTAAAAAAAAATCCCAAAATCATACATGAATTAAGTATGGGTGGCTCTGATACCACTTGTTGGATTTCAATCAATCAACCTAATTTGATTCTAACAATCAATCATCAATCCTAACCACATGCTTTCTATCCATTTAGAGAGAAATTACTGCATAAAGATGAATGAAACCCTATTGTGTTCCTATACCCAAAATCATGATGAAAACTAAATGCGAAAACATACCTGAATTAGCCATTGAGAATAATGAAAGGTTGATGAGGATCAAGATTGGTTTGGTGATCTTCCAAATGTAGAGAGCCTTATGTTCTTCTATGAGTTTTCTCTCTTAATGGGATGGAGAGAAAATACAAGAACTCAAGAACGTAAAAATGTCTGTTACTTCTCTTTACAAGTGAGGACCATAACCCCTTGTATTGGTAACTGCCATCAGTTATTCCAAATTTAATAATTATAATTTGGTCATTCATCAAATTATAATATCACTAATGGTATCTACATAATTAGACGTCGATGACATATATGCCCTTAGCGACTTTTATATTTTGCCTAATAAAATAATGGTCCTAACACATTTAATTATGTAATATATATATATATATATATATATATATATATTTATATTTATATATGTATGACCCAAAATTGCTAACATACTAGCCTTAAAGAGAAATGTCTCCTCAACTCTTAGACTTGCATATTTTAATTAAAGCTTAAAAAACGTCATCCTTATTTAACAAAAGGTACTTTTATTTTATATTTACACAATAAACCTAAGCTTTATTTGTATTCATGTGGTTGATTATAAATAAAATACCTATGTAACATAGAAATTGATAAGTCTGTAATTAGGCCTTTTTCTACGACCCATATATTTATGTTTATCATTTATTTTAATTGGATTTTACATTAATTTATATGTTAAATATGCATTTTAGTATGAAGAGGTTACAAGTGAATTTTGGACCCAAATTAGTGAAAGATCACAGTTTCGCAATAGTTAGCATGCCCAAGCCCAATTATAAAGAGCTTTAAGGGTTTTTAAACTCTCTAAAAGAAATACCTTAGACATCTTGTGAGACACCGTTTACATCTTGTCTTTCACTCTTTGATACATCTTTCATCTTGTCTCTCTTGCACGAGATCGTTGGCATACTCTTGGTAGGACTTACAGCTGACCAGAAAATCATCTCTTTCTAGTTTACTTTTCTCTATGACTTTATTTACGATTGTTTTAGTTCTTCTTTTTAGCATGAGTAACTAAGTCTATAACTAAGGCTATGAGAACTATTGTTCATAAATTTTTGAGATTTTAAAGTTTGAATCTGTATTTGGTTTATGTTCATGATTAACTTTTATTCTATTACGCATAATTATAATCCTAATTAATTATATCGTTAGGTGACCGTACCTTGATTAGTTAATAGATCTATAGGATAAAATGAGACAAAGGATTAGGTAAACCAAACTAATCTTTCTCTTTCAATTGTTATTAAATTAACAAGTTCATATGTACTTTATGCTTTATTTAATTGATGTCTTGCATAAACATTGGGAATATTAATTTAAAGAAAAGAATATTAATATTACATGATCATTGGATATTAATAGTATTTATATAAATGATTGGTAATCATAAAGAAATTAAATTTAGAGTTAAACAGAAAAATAACATAAAAGATTAAATGAAAAAATTCATATACCTTAAGTTTCTCTCTTATAAGTTTAATCAAAGTATGTGTTGTGTTATTTATTTTTATTGATAATTAATTTTATAATTAAATTTTAATTCTTACTTATATTTTTTAGATTTAAATAATTAAATTAAAAAATTCTTAATAATTAAAAATAATCTCTATAAAATAATAACTTAAAAACTCTTTTTAAAAATTCTTTATTACATTTTTACACATACAATTTCACACGAACAAAATCTACCAACATCTTTAAATAAAACTCTAGATACTCAATCGTTATGCTCTTTCACTTGTATACAATGAAATTACCAATCCACACGGCAAAATATCATTGTTGTTACGACTTTTCTATTCTGACCCTCCCACACTTCGTACTACTGAATATCTAGTTTGGGGCCGTTCTTGACCTTTTTGAGACCCTAGGCAAAATAAAAAATTAGAGCTCTTTAAAAAAATTATAAAATGTAATAAACAAAATAAAAGTATATATTAATAATTTTATTAAAATAATACTTTTTCTTAAGTAGCTATAATTTTTTCTAATAAAATTATAAAAAAATTCTTTCATTCAACTAACTCTTATGATATAATTAACTGCAAAAACACAAAAGATCATAAAAAATGAGTTCTACGAGCATTCTGAGATGCAAAATCATCAATGATAACATTAACATTAATATATTTTTTTAAAATTTATCGATTGATAAAATTGTGAGACCATTCAACGGTTCTTGTAACATTGATGACCTTAGGTAGGTTTTGATTAACTTTAACTTTAAAAAACTTCTTTCAGTTGATGATATAGTTATCGAGACCGTAAAAAAAATCTATAATTGATTAAAACATTTAAATAACAATATGCAAATTTGACAAACTCAATAACTATTTAATTTTTTGGAGAAAACTAAAATTCTCCATGAGATTTAATGTTAAGAATAGTAAAATTTTATAATTAAATGAAGTTTTGAGTTTACAGAAGTCAATGAGTCGACTACGTTTATAGTAAGTGAGGTGCGAGAAATTAAAATATTTTTTTATTTTTCTATTTTTTTCAACTGCAAAATGTAAGAGTTGAAATTTTTTTCAAGTAAAAATAAGATACAATTTTTACTTTAGGTCCTCTTTTAAGCTTAGACTCTAGGCGATTGCATCTCTAAACTACCCTCAAAACCAGAGCTGCCAGTTGCGCACATCAACCATGCTGAAAGTTTATTCACTTTTCATAGTACCAATTTATAGACAGTGTATGTACTTATGAATGCATTGGGAAAGTCCCGTGCTCCATTGGGTGAATTTGATATAACCCTTTTTCTCTTTTAAATAATTATTTTATTTTTTAAAATATCATAATTTTATTTTACTTCCTTAAAAAAATTATTGAATTTTAGCCTATTAAAATTACATATCTTAATCTCTACTGGACACTTACAACTACGTCTTTTAAAAAAAACAAATTATTCATTCTAAGAATATCATGATATTTTAATAATCATGAAAAAATAATAAATTTTAGTCACTTAAAATTAAAAAAAATATATTATTTAAATTTTTGGTGGAAGACTAAAACTAAATCAATTATATTAAATATATACATTGCATTAAAATTAATAATTTTTTATAAAATACAATATGATATTTTTAAGTATTAATAACTTATTTAAACTTCTTTTTTATAATCTGTTGAAACTCAGACTTGATGATTTGACAATACATCGATAAATCAGACAGCCAAGAGTGGAATTGGGCATTTTACGTAAACTAGATAAATAATTGAATTTTAGAAAAAAAGAGAAAGGTAACATACAAATTTTCAATTAACATTCGTTACAATTAACATTTTAATTTAACTTTTAAATGAAAAGTTGCAAATGATGTCTTAGTTTAAGCAGAGATAAGGTTGTTAAAAGATTAAAAAATATTATATATAGATTTATTAAACATTTTTTGTGGACATAATTATAACCTTTATGCGATTCCTACAATTGTGGACAACATTGTAAGCCCCCACTACTAGACAATTGTTTACTTTAATTTGATTGATTATTATGGGTGCTCTTACTAAAAAAGCTAATTAGTGGGTGCAAAATGTTTTATTGATATTAAATAAAATAACAAAAATATTTTATAGATTTTGAAGTTTGTGTATATAAATAATAAAAGACAAACAAATTATATATAGATTTAATTAAGTTTTGGTTCTTTAAAAATGTGATTTTTTATTTGATCCTATATTTTTTATTTTTTTTCTAAATGAGTCTCCAATAGAATATTTTTTGTTACAAAGTGACCCTTTTATTTATTTTTCTTATATTATCTTTTTAAATGATACGAACTTTTATTTAGTCCCTTATTTAAAGGAGACCAAATAAAAAATTCATGATATTTATAGGAACAAAATATAAAAATATGATATTTTAAAAAATTAAATAATTTTTATATTTAAAATACCTATAGAAAAATAATTAAAAGAACTAAATATAAAATAAAAAATATTTTGAGAGACTAGAAAAATAATTAAATCTTTCATATATCGTATGCAATATCAATGTTTTCATGTTTACTAATAAAATTGGAGTACCGTTAAGTCCGCAGATGTGAAACGATTTTGGGAGAAAGGACAGACATCGTCATATCTCATTGAAAGTAAAAGCCACATATAAAAGGATGGCATATACTCCAATCATATATGATTGGAAGTGTATAAATAAAAAATTTCACTCTCAGAAACTGTGTTATCTGTGTATGCTTGTGCGAAGAACTCCATTGATGGAAGCACCACTAGTGATAAAAAGCTTTACTTCAGAACCTGACTACTTACCAGTGAAAAGCTTGAAGGATGTTAAGTTTGTTTTGTGCACAGAGACAGTGAAAATATGGAAGATAGCACTTCCAATGGCACTGTCTGCTTTGTTTCAGTTCCTCACAAAGTCCTCAAGTTCTATATATGCTGGTCATCTCGGAGACATTGAACTCTCTTCTATTTCTATTTACCAAAGTGTCATCAGTTCCATCTATTTTTACTTGATGGTTAGCGCTCTCTCAAAATCTTGGTATTTTCTTTTCTTTTACAGAACAGTACTTCTGGTACTATTATTCAATCAAATTTGAAGTTTCTTCTTCATAATATGCATAATAAAAATCAACATTAAAGGTTGGCATACCGCATACATTACTCAGATAAAACTCTTAAGTTTGTGTTTGGATTCACCTTGGAAAACTTGTAAACTTGAATCTAACGCAAAGTTACAACTATTAGAGTTGAAGTAAACATGCATTTAAACACGAATTCAAAAATGCCGTAATTCTGATTGGAAAAGAGCAGTAAAAGTATCTATGACAGTGCACCAAAGTTTTGTCCTTCACTAATAAAATTTCTAATCACAGAATAATGAAGTTAAAAAATTTCCATATGTTATTTTTTTTAATCTTATCTAATTTTGATGTGCAAAACTGCAGTTTGGTATGTCATCTGCGCTGGCAACACTTTGTGGCCAAGCTTTTGGTGCTGGGCAAATTCAATCTACTTGTGTCTATGTTCAAAGGTCATGGATTATACTTGTTGCCACTTGTGTAATTCTCTTGCCTATTTATGTGTATGCCACTCCAATCTTAAAGTTGCTTGGCCAAGAAAAATGAATAGCTGATCTTGCTGGCAAATATTCTATACAAGTAATTCCACACATGTTTTCCTTGCTATAGCATTTCCCGTTCAGATATTTCTTCAGGCCCAAAGCAAGGTTAAAGTTATTTTGTGCATATCATTTATGAATTTGCTTATACAAAATGGGCTATTATACATCTTCATCTATGGATTTGGTTGGGGTACAACTGGCTTAGCCATGGCCAATAACATCACAGGATGGGGGTATGCTGTGGCTTTGGTTGTTTATGCCATTGGTTGGTGCAATGAAGGGTGGAGTGGGTTTTCTATGATGGCATTTAAGGAATTATGGGACTTTGCTAAGTTATGCCTTACATCATCTGTTATGACTTGCTTAGACCAATGGTACGTCACATGCATTATGCTCCTCATTGGTCAACTTGACAATCCTGTGATTGTTGTTGGTTCCTATTCTAGTTGGTAAAATGATCAACCTTTACTCATTTTAAGATTTTTAAATTGGTTATATTAAACAATTTTTCTATGATTTTTCATACACCAATTAACCTCTTTAAATTTACTTTTTATGTTTACTTTTGTATTTTTAGCCTCCATGTTCTGGGGCTGGCACTTGATGCTGCTCCTTGGAATAGGTGCAGCCATGAGGTGAGTCAATAAAAATTGAACACATGATAGCAATATAAGACTAGAAATGTAGTGCAATATTAGGGTTTTTTTGCCTGCATGGGGTTAAATGACAAACTATTTCTCCGTATGGATTTATTTGACAAGAAATTCTTTGTCTAGGATGATTTGTAAGTGTCGTACAAAATATTGGTGACACATTGTTAAGTTTCGGCAACTACAATGCCGACACACTGTTAAGTTTTGGCAACTAAAATGCCGACACAAATTGTAAATCGACTGGTTGTGTTTTGACACATGTGTATCAGTTATATTTTTGCGACACTTGTGTGTCGGCTGAAAGAATGCCGACACTAGCTGTGTGTCAGTTTCGTTGACGCCGACACATTTCTCGTTCACACCCATTGAACAAAACAAAAGACAGACTTTTATCCAAAAGTTTTTATTCAATTGAAATGCATATATATAGAGGCAGACAAGGGTGTATCAGAAGCAATTGTGACATTTTCAAGCTGTTCCGCTGGAAGAAATTTCATGTTAGAATGTTATTAATTTACTGTTTTAAATTTCTAATTATTGTAAATAAGTTTGAATTAATAATTTTAATATTATTATAAATAAATAAAATTAAAAATATTTGTAGTAATAAATTTAATTTATTTAATGTTAATATAATATTATTGAAAATATAAATTTAAAAATATATTATTTTAATTTTTTGGTAATTATTTTTGTTACTATTTGTTTAGGTAAGCTTTTGTAATAATTTTGGCTGTATTTTTTAATTTGATACACAGGATAACTGAAATTGTGGTTATTTTATACTGGAATGAAAGAGTGTACGAAGGAAATGAGAGTATCATATTTGAAAGGAATAATAAAATGATTAAAATAGAACGTGAAATTACTTTTGAGATGTTAAAAAAAAATACATACAAAATTGAGATTGTGCAATAGTAATGTAATTTCTAAACTGATTTCACGAATTTTAGTTGATTCAAGGAGTAGAAACTATACAATTTTAGATGTACGTGATGATGAAGACATTGACTGTATGATAAGTGCTTGTCAAGAATGACATCAAAGAAATGTAGAGTTATACGTGAATATTGCGGTTGGTGAAACTTCCCATGTAGGTGAAACTTTGTTATGTTTAAATTTATCACTCCCAACAATGTTAGTAACAATGAAGAAGAGTATGCAACTATGCTACTCCAGCAAATCCTGCTACTGTCAAATGAGGAATAATCTCTACTGGTACTCCCTCCATGCCAGCATGTATGAAATGACCTCTTCTCACTTTCAATATTGGGTGTTCACGACCATCCCAAATATACTCTGAAACATGAATAGACTGATAGCGCAGTAATGAACCATCATCGGGGCGAGATTTAATACCTTACTACGAGACGAAGATGATGTCATCTAAAATCTATATAAACAAGTAAACTATTAACTTCAAATTTACAATATAAGCAACCAAATTTAATAAAAATAATTTCATTTTAGTATTAAACAATTTGTACCTTCAAATAGACTCTATCAAACTAAATAGTAACAAAAAAAACTCTTTTACTAAATTTACCTACAATAAGTACATTTACAGCATATGTTTAAATAATAGCTTACAACAAAATTTATATTTTCAAAATATCATTATACATAATTCTTCCTCATATATTTATCTAATTTAATTATTTTATATTTCTCAAATCATTTATATTTATATATTTTTCTAATTATATTATTTTATTATTTTAACATAATAATATTTGTATAACAATAATAATGTCATCATAATTTTTATTTTTAAATATAGTTTTCTACATAAATAAAAAGAAAATTATAAAATTTAATTTAATTATTTTCCTATTTTTCTCGTTCTCTATTTTCATTTTTTTTACATGCATAAAATTGTAATTTTAAATTAATCTAATTTATAATTATTTGATACATAACTATATTTTAATCTTTCACAATTTTAAATTATTTACTATTTCTTATTTATGTGACATAATATTTGTTGAAATATTATTACAAATTTAACAACTGCAGATTCTTATAATATAAATTTATTAATTAATATATTTCATTCTTATTATTTCAATTTTATTTTGTTATTCATAATTTTATATTTTATTAACCTTATAATAATAATCACACATAATTCTTCCTCATATATTTATTCAATTTAATTCTTTTATATTACTCATTTGATTATTTTCAGATTCTTTTTCTTATTTGATTATTTTGTTATTTTAACATAATAATATTTGTATAACATTAATAATATCATTATTATTTTTATTTTTAAATACAGTTTTTTTACATAAATAACAAAAAAACATATATTTTAATTTAAATATTTTCTTATTTTTCTATTTTCGTATTTTCCTATATTCCAATTTTCCTATTTTTCTATATTCCTATTTTCCTATTTTTTTACATGCATAAAATTACAACAAAATAACTACAAATGTAAATTTTTACTAACCTTTTGAGCTAAGCATCTGGACCACCACCGATTGCAATATTCCTAGGACCAAAAATGGATGCAAGAATGAATATTTTATATTTATATCTGATATACGCCACAATCTTTTATTCTTATCTTTCAAAGTTTTAAAAATGTCCAATCCATTCGCCTTGATTTCTCCTCTGCGTTTTCGATTTGCAAAAATTTTTCACCTTTACAACGAAGAAGATGAATAGCAGAAACAAAAGAACAAAGGGAGAAGATGGAGGGTCGACCGGTGTGCCTCCTGCAACTTGTCACGTGGACCAATCGGTGTGTGTTGGTCCTGAACAACCCGACACTGGTGTCGTCAATAGCAATTCCAACACTCAAGTCGGATCTCAACCATCCAACACACTGGAGAACCTCCACGTGTATAGTTTGTAGTCGTTGATCAGTATTATCAAAATCCATCCGTTAATATTTTTTAAAGTGTCGGTTAAAAGTTTGACAACAGTATTAATTTTTAAAAAAAATTACCTACGTCGGCCAAATATTTTCTGACACTGCTTCCACCGTGTCATTCTCCACCCTAGACACGGTATTTGTTAAGAAAGAGCCCCATAAACATAATTTGTTTCTACATTAACCCTATGCGGGCAAAAAAGCCGCAATATTATGTCAATATATAGACTCTAATTGATTACAATAGGAAACTAATGACTCTATGCCCTTCAAGTGTTCGTGTCTCTAATACACTTGGCATGTCACATCCAAGAACAGCCAAGTACTCTTTCTCTGTGACAATGTTCCAATCACTCTTCCTTGGTTTAGTTTTCATGACTGTTATTTTCTTGAGTAAAGACGACTTTGGCATCATCTTTACCAACAGTTAGGACATGATAAGAGCTGTTGCTGATTTAGCATACCTTCTTGGAATAAACGTAGTTATTAACTTAGCTTCACAAGTCATATCAGGTAATCACTTGAAAAGTTCATTCTTTAACACAATTTCCATCTCATAATCACTCTTCAATGGTATATTTTTTCTGATCCTTTTTATAAGAACATTACAACTAAATTGCACGTCTAAGTGTCACAACCAGGCAGTAGTCACTGCAAAAACCATTTTCAAAATATTAGAAGAGTCGTCACTAAAGTTTATTTTAAGAAAATTTTAGAATTTTTTTTAAAAATAATATGATCTTTGAAACTAAAAATGAGTTCGCGAGTCATTTACATCCCTAAATATTAATTATTTTTATTTTAAAAGAAGAAATATTATTTATTGAGATATTATTTGGATTATTTTAAAAATTATTTTGACTTGACGAGTATGGTTCCTGCTCCTACGTATCTCCAAGTGCAATGGAGAACTCAAAGTCACATAATTCTATCTAAAAATTGCAAAGTTGGTTGATTAAAACTAAGTTTAATAAAAGAAAATTTATTTTGAAATTAAAATTATTTTTGTAAAATTATAATGTTTAGGATACAAGATAACGCGGTTATACATGTACCCTAGAGAAATAATACAAAAAGTGAAGGAAGATCACATAACTATACTGCAAATTGTTAAAAAATATTTTATTCGTAAATGACGTATTTGAATTTGAATTTTGATTATGATTAATGTTGAAATATGATTTAAAATAGCATAAGCTATACATAAATCTCTTATAATTTATTAGACAACCGAAGGCAATGTAAATCACACATCAATGTTGCAAAAATTTGTATAGTAAAATGAAGAAATGATTGGTTATTTAGATTTTTAAAAAAATTACAAATACGACTTAAGAAAATTTAAAATATGAGATTAATTCTATTTAATGAAATGAATAAATATATTTGAATTGATTAAAAAAAAACTAAAACTTTGTTTGATAAATTTATGTTGTATAGAACCTAAGGTAACGTTGGTACGGATAGGTTCTAATAATGTATAATGCGTAAAGGTAGAGTTGCTACGCATTAGCATTATAAATTATTGTGTTAATAAAATAATTTTTATTGATTGATTAGTAAAATAGTGATTATAGGAAATACATTTTGATTGATTATTAGATAATCTTTCCAATTAATTAAAAATAACATATGATAAATTAATATTAGACTTTATCAATTTATAACATACAATGATAGAGAAGTTACACGTTAATGTTATAAATTGATACACTTATATATTATGCATTTATTTAATAAATTAAAAATATAATTTGTAAGCCATAAAATAAAAGAATATGAAATTAAATTACATCAACATCTAAAACTTATCTAATACAATAAAAAATGATCATATTAAAGAACAATATAACTAAATAATTAAAATAAATAAATAAATAACATGCAAGATGTAGTAAGAATCTAATATGATTGTATAAATCAAGACTTGAATGGTGTCTAAATCTAATTTAACTATTCTGTTACCATTATTATTTTTTAAATTAATTAATAAATGAAATTAAAATAACCAAGATTATGACTCATGGAACCACAAAACATGCAATTTCAGATTCAAATAAGAAAGGGAGTAAAAAAGTTGATTTGTAATTAAGGCAATTAGCTTTTAACTTTTAGCTTTAGGCCCTTAGGCCTTACGTAATGCAGAGTAGTGCAGGGCCTTGTCCAATCCATTCATATCACACGGTAAATAAAAATATTAATATTTAAATAATATAAAAAAAAAAGAGTAATAAGAGCTATGATGTTTTCGTTT